GGAGGGAGCCTTGATAGCCCATTGCGACTTCGGATCCATCCGCCGATACTTATCAAACTGGCCGGAGTAAGACTGGAAGCCAGGCACTAGACAGCCTTATTCCGTCTATTCTAATCACGCAGTTGTTAGTCTTGATTATTTCGATAGCCTCGGCAATTAGCCTTTGTTGGGTTGATAGCAAATCCTCCATGATAACCACGACATTTTCGAAGTCAATTACGTGATCTTTGTCCCGCGCATGCATTTCTATTGACGAGCATCTGAGCAGAACGCTAAACTTGAGTTCCTTCCTCAGAGGTCATGATATGTGCCGACTATGTTCTGGAATTCGTGAACGTAGTTCCCCGTCGCTTGGCCTATACACATCTGAGTACAATCTTTACACGGAATTTTGTAAATGCAGTCCGCCGTTCTATCCAAAGGAAGGGAATCCTTCAAAGGCAAATGCGTCGACCGTAGCTTTTGCCCCTACTGGAAAACCTCTTCACTTTATTCAGTACTCTCGAACTCGCTTCCAAATTTTTTATGCGGAATATCCACTGTCGTTATCCACTCTGTGGTTGGTCTTGCGGGTGGGTTGAGATATTTCTGTAGCTGTCGTTTCACCAATCGCCTCGAATATCCGCTAGCTACTAAGCTTTTCATGGCTTCCCTCTGCGTTGCTTTGATATCTTCTTCATCGGTACACAGAGCACTTGCTCTGTGCAAATGTGATGAGATGAGTCCCACATAAATGTGCTTCGGGTGGCCTGAACTATGGCTAAGTACCCATTTGTGTCCATTGGTTTCGATACATTGTCGTTTGTAACGTTCCTTCATTACGGTGGACTAGATAATCAAGGGACGGGGGTATACCACTTTGCCACTCATGTTCCATAGCGAACTTTATCGCATCGTCAATGGAGTTCAACTACTCTACGAATTCATCTTTGCTAGGTTTTTTAGTAATCCCCAAACTATCATTCACGTAGCGCCACCATAATCTCAGCGCACCACGGAAAGTTTGTAATGCCTTCTTTTCAAAGTCTTCCATGTAGATATTCGCCAATATGGGGATATTGGAGATACTATGGCCAGACCTTGTTTTTGAGTGTACATTCGCAACTGAAATTTGAAATAAGTTATGCTGAAGCACAAGGATATCCCCTAGACCAGTTGATTCACTGGAAGCATTGTTCTGTCTTATAAGCTGCCGTCTCTTATCAAGCATATTCACGCTAATCGTAACGTCTCCTCTTTGGGTACATTCGTGAACAAGATAACATCGAAGCTGACCATCAATTCATCTTGTTCGATGTTCACACCATGTACAAACTCATAAAAGTTCTTTACAAGTGTGTCCATTCTCCCTGTCAGCGCTTGCAGTATGTACGCGAGATATCTCGCGAGCTTGTGTGGGAGGGCCTATGCCGTCCACTATGGGTTGCAAGTGGACTTTGGCCTATGTAGCTTTGGTAGGCCGTAAATTGTAGGTGGAATAGCCAATAAATGCAGTACCACTTGCCCTTTCCTAAACTCTCACGGTCCTTGGCTAACTAGAGACCACAGTATTATTATTATTATTCATTGCTGATGTGATCGCTTTGTGCACAATCACCTTCTATGTTCTCGTGATCAGTTGTTCCCTCGGTGTTTTCAAAGCATTTGCTTTAGTCATCAGCACTACACTGCTATCCGCTTTGTACTGACAACATTAGGATCCACTTTCAGCGTCTAAAACGCTGTGTGTTCGGCTAGCGCAAGATTCGGTACTGCCGTCTGCTGAAATCTAATTATATTTGCTAATTGTGCGCAAATGTCCGCTGCCATTCTCGTCATAGAAGTTTTAACTTCGCGAATCATATCTTCCGCCCTTAGTTTAGGTTCACTGATAGTAAAATCCGAACACTACGTTCTAGTGGATGTATGCTTTTCGGTACGACTATCGGCCCCATTATTTACAGTCATCAAATGTTTGAAATTAGGTATTTGCCTTTCCTTCGATTACCGTCCTCTTGTTGCCTTAACTTCGAAGGCCTTATTGAAAAGCCCGTCATAATCAGCCTGTGTCTGTCTGTAAATCCAAGCTCAGCCAATTTGCATGAGACGAATTTCATCCAGACTTCTAGTTGTTAGGTAGTTTTTTTGTCTCAAAAATGCTTTACCCGCTTGCAGGCAATTTCTACTGACGTGTACGAAGAATCCGGAGGTTTGACTGTGAGTGACTTGGAAATAACGTTGTTCTTGAGGTCTCTGAGATTAAAATCCGATGAGTTTCCCAATTAGCCTCGATGTCTGCTAGACACTAATTGACTCGCCAACTTGCAAATACGAGGTCCGTATTTGTACTCGATTTCTTGGAATATATCTGGAACTGATCGAGAGTTCATCATTTCAGGATACTTGGTGGACGACTGGTTAATAGATTTGTTATGCCGCACAACGTTTTGCGTTTGACGCAAAAGCATCATCGGAGGAAGTGAATTAGCTTAACATTGGTATTTTACAACAACCGTTAATCAAAGATGAAATGTGGTGTAGCATATCAAATGTTTTATCCGGTCTTTTACCAAGTATCCTGCAATGGATACGGTTGCCTCCAAAACATCAGCTAACTATGAAGACTGTTTACCCTACTGATGAGCTATAAGTAGTTAGTTTTTCTTGTCCTGTGATCATGGTCACCGTTTTAACGTCCTCCATTAACGTACTACAACCTGGACACATCTTGCTATAGAACCGACGGGATCCCAGGTTTGAGTATGCATTGTAATATCCGATTTTATCGTTGTCAACTCGGCCATTGAACGATGGGGATCACATTCCTACAGTGGTCACTGCATGAATTGGAATAGTGCACCAACTGCGTACAGAAGCTGCGTGTCGTACAGTCCGGCTATCAACCAATCGCATTCACTCGAAATCACGCCGGGCGCTTATTTAGGTGGTTCGGTTTTCCATTTCATGGGGTACGATTTATTATGAGGTACCTGAACTAGGGTGAACTGAACGGCAATCAAACCGATACCGGATTCCGGTATCGATGTCCGAAGCACCGATTTCGAGGACAGGTCAGTTGAGGGACAGCTGCAACTATCCACCCATTGTCTGAGAAGCTCCAGAGGTAGCGTCCTAGAATCAAGCAGTGTCAAGTATCTTGTTCAGCCAAGTAACGGAGCCCATTTTGCACAGTTTATATATATATATATATATATATATATATATATGTATATATATATATATATATATATTTGCAACAGTCTATGAATAGACATGAATAGACAGTATTTGTAGATGCACCCGGTCGAAATCAACGCCAACCAATTGTGCTCACTGTGTTCTAGAAAAAATGCAGTTTGCAATCCACCGTGGATCGCTCAAATCCTAATCCCAGTTAGTTAAACTGAAAAAGCGAACTAAAAATGTGATCAACCACAGAGTGCCGTACCAAACACCAGTACATTGTCCATAAGTTTGGTCTTACGACTGCCTGACGCGATTCGAAACAATAGCGGATGGGGGGAGCAAATGCAGAGCTCGCCTGAGCCCGCATCCTTAACATGCACAACAACACTCAGCATGTGACGATTCAAAATGCACTGATCATAGCTGAACTCTCCTCAATGAAACCGTAGTTATCTCTAAATACAATCCGCGCAGACCTCACCGAAGCTCGGTCCGAGCATGCACTGACTTCAACTGAGCGCTCCTCAGTAAACAATAGCTACGTGACAACTTATGTACCTTGGCAACATCCAACTTTCTCTATAGTTTAGGTGTTACATCGCTATATTATTGAGCTACAAATACGAATGTAAACATGTCAGGTAGCAAGGTGTAGATAACCGATTCTGCTTCCAACATCTTCATTCCCGTTTCCCTCATTTCGTTTTCATTTTTCCTCTTACGCGCAAACGCCTAACATACAGTCAAAACGAAACGCCTGAGCCAGTTAACCAGGGACAACCAAGTGCGCCTCACACACAACAAGAAATCTCCCATCGGTGGTTCGTTGTTGCTCCTCCCAACCCTGACACCCCATGACCGGTTTCGTCCTCCTTTAGACTCATCAGGTGGAGATGGCTTGAGCTGGAGTGGACCTTGAGGCCTAGTGTTCAAAGGTTGACGCGTTGACCACTATGGATCTAAGATCTGTGAGCAATACTTAGCACAACGCTAAAGAATTCCCATATTATCTGTCTCGGCCAAGATGTGCAGCTGCTGAACTGAAAATAAATAAATAGCTCCGCCATACCCTACTAACTTTTAGTACGCCATAGTGTATAGAATAGCTTGAGCCTAAATTACATGCTGTGTACTTCCTATAAGTATGATTCAGGCCTTAGTATTTTTCTTATCAACACGCAATTGCTCCTCATGCTTTACCCAAGAAAGAGAAATTTTGGTTCTATCCCTACACCAAGCCCTCCGTCAGGACGCCCATTCAAGGCTTTGTACTGGACAGGCATGGAGTGTAAAACACTATTTTTATTTTTGCCTGACTGTTAGCGCATACTGTAAATGTTATAGGAAACAATAGTAAAAATTTGATCATGCGAAAACTAGCATGTCTCGTTAACCTAAGAACATACATTATTATTGTTGTTGTTTTAAATATTAGCAGAAGCAAGTTTGGCCTTTGGCCGATTCAGTATACGAAGTCTTGCTTTCAACCAGTCCCCCTTTTCCGGATCTCCAGTTCAGTCGTGTGGGATTACGAAATTCCTCGCCGGTCTCAGCTTGCGTGTTACACATATCTAGCAGCTAGGTCTTTTTGGCCGTACCGATCCGAATTCAATTGTCTACTCTGTGCGTGAGGTACTGTCGGTGAACAGCGTTTCGTCCATTCCGACTAGGACAGTCGAAAGAACGGACGCTTAGAACAAAAGCTAAAAGTGCAATCCTAAGCACTGTGACGATGACCCATTGACACTATCAGACAACAGACGAAAGCAATGCGCAGTGTGCGCGATTGGCGCCTTGGGTCAAGGTAAATTTGGCGGTCCCATCACAAGACGTTACTGCAACTGGGCTATGGCCCGACATATTGTACTAACGAGCTTTGAGTGGCCAAGAAAAGAGAGATTTGCATACACAGGTTCTTGAGTGGAACGTAGCGGCTTCTACAACATGTGAACTGTCAAGGTTGCCGCCGTACTAGGTCAGTGTGTCCGACTGACAGGGCTCGATGCAGTGGTGTTTGCCTCTATTCTAATTCCATCTGACAAAATCTGCCGATAAAGTTTTGTGCTCATAAATCAAATAGAACAGAATGATAATCGGAAAAAATCAGGATAAATACGATGGGGAGCAGAATACGCATGGAAGCTCAGGTAACAACTTGGATGAAAATCATTTAAAGAAGGGGATGAGATGAACACGATCGTCTGCTTGGGTGTAGCAATTGTATGGATAAGCAATGGAAGGAAAGCTGCGAAAAATAGTCGGTTGTGCGACGTGCCATAATTCGAATCGATAATCACGCTATACAAAACCGCAAAAGCCGGAGATGATGTTGGCGGATGAACGCAAAGTGGCGGAAAAACGGAAGTGTGTTTTACACACCGATCTGTTTGTGTGGAAGAGTAATTAAACAGGTGCAATTCGTACGACCATTTGGGGTTCGCGTGTGTAAACAAAAATCCGCCGGGAGGCATAGGACCGGATGATGGAGTTTGTAGGGATTTGACCCATATTAAATAAATTGAACAGGAGACAAAGTTAGTGAGAAAGGGCGCGAAAAAAGTAGTTTTTCTGTCAGTCTTGTGGTGGTGAATATGTGGTCAGGGAAGTTTATCACGAGTACAAAAAGTTGCAGGAAGCACACGTGATGGTTGAATCAAACAGAAATGGTGCACCTTTTTCGCAAATACATCTGGGATACTGCAGCGGGCGATGTGATACGCCCAGGTGTCAAAGGTGGCCGTTACTCTTTAGCGTGAGTCCAATAGAATCAGTCAGAACGGAGATGTGTGGGTTGAAGCGAGTTGTCTCAAAAATGGCTGCGTTCAGCGCCTGGTTTGTGATGAGGAAAGAGAAGAATTGGTTATCAGCGAGGAATTCCAGGTAACAGATAGTGTATAGTAACCACAGTGCCCTATAAACTTCCATCGTTTCAAACGGTTTAGCAATGAAGGAAAAGACTACTGACATGGGGACCCTTCAACTAGGGATGTTCCCCAGTTTGATGACAACAGCTAGTCTCTGACTTGAAGCACAACAGACCGTAGTCGCATCAACAGCGTTCGAACATTCACCAACAGCTCGCTATAGTGCACCGCATTTTGACAAGCGGGGGTTGGATGCGAACTTTGTGGCCGGCCGGAACATTCTGCACTTGTAAAACTCAGGCAGAAAGTGTTGTACAAGACAAACGCTCCTAGCTGGTGTCTAAGCTAGTTCTAAGTTTGTTAGGAGACTTTCCGACAACGGCGACCACAAGTGTAACACAAGTCAGGAAATCGAATAATCTAGGGAGATGACATCTCGGACCGGATATTATCTGCATAGGATCGCCGATCGTAAAAATGGTTGAGAAACGCCTGCCTCACCAGCTTTGCCGCCGCCAAAAGCACGAGTTGTTGACATGGTGGGCATTGATTTAGTGAGTAACATCAATAATGACAACACTCATAGGTCTAGTTAACAAATTCCGAAATATTCTAGTTATGTAGTTACCGACCGAGCTGGATGAAGCCCGGTATGATCACACCGGAGAAATATTTGTGGATGACTCCTTGTGAAGGTAACCTGATAGAGCTTCATGTTAGTTGCATCGTTCCACAGTTTCAGAGTGGTGTGTACATCATTCATGTAATCTATCCACTAACATATATACTGGATACCTATTTTGCCTGCTAGTCAATCTGAAGCTTAATCGGGAGAGGCGGTTATATTTGCTGAACGGGATGGAATATGAGACCCAAGTGTGACTTGGCTTTAACGCGGGCATGCCAACCATTCGAAGTCGGTGTGACATTCATTTGTGAAGACTTTTCATATGTGTCAGAAGGGTTTGCAGCCGACGTAGTGGTTCATTACCATAGCTTTGAACTGTGTGGCTCGGAACGGTCTAAATCTGAACAGGGTACTAAAAATACCTAAAACTGACGTCCCAGTTGACCCGCTAATGCGCATATCTAATCCCGCCATAGACACCGTTCCAAGGTGGCTTGTGCAATTATTCTAACTGGTGTTGCGAACACATTGCGTAACATTTGGTGAGGCTTCCTTTGACTCGGAACCACAGTTTACGAATATTCCATGAGAGAAACAGCTAGTGTTGCCTGTAAGCGTCCAGGATAAAACAGCAATACAGTACAGTCAGAAGTGCCAAAATCGGATAAATTATTTGAACATGGTCCTTCAAACACAATTCTTTCTGGATGAAAGCCACGCGTAGTAGACGGTAGGGCAACAATAGGATCATCTTCAAGACTGTTCCTAAACTACCCCCCTCGCTGAATTTAAACGTCAGCTCATCTGATAACGTATGACGTCCCTTAATTCCTATCAGCCGTAGTTCACGGGATCCCGTGACGACAAGGTTCACAGAATGGACCAGTTAAGGCGGATTCATTCGCAGCTCAGATTAACTTGCAAAACTGAGATCGGTGGCGGAGAGACATTTCTCAATGTGTTATTGCGGTGATGAGAAAGCTGGTCGTTTGAATGGAAAGTAGTCTACAGGACTATCTAGATAGAGAAATGTTAGGTTGCGAAGAACGCACAACAACCTCACCCTTCTCCATAATAGGATACATTTGCGGGTCTTCACAATCAACCTATCTAATGCGTAATGGGATAGACATTTGTTGTACCTACAGAGTAGCAAAAACAGTTTTTCTAAAGTGTATCCCTAGTGAAGTGCACCATCTATGCAATAAGCGAGCAACCGATAAATTACCTATAAGCATCTGCAATTGCCATATACCAAAGTCGATCAAAGTATTCGGTCCTTAGCTATCTATGAGTGTACCTATGGAAACCCACACAAAAAACGTACACAAAGGATTTCCTAAAGTGTTTACTGTCGCACCTCCTAAAAGCGTGCACTATCTATCCACATCGGCTGCAAAGTTCATCAGTGATAAGGGAATGAATTTCGTTGTATTCACCTTTAGACCTAGTATTTGAAGAACATACTACTAGGAAAAATGGTAATGTATTCAGTACCTATAATAAACTGGAGAGATTATCCGCGCTATGCAAAGTTGCCGTATCCAGCTTTGGACCAATGGTCGTCTCCAGATTGCAAGTGTGTCCCTCCTATCGGAAATTATATCCCTCCATTTATTTAACAACGTTACCCAGCACAAACTTTACACTTCATAAATGGACTCGCGCCTGTTTGCATCAAACAAGTGGCAACTGACGAAGTAGGAATATGGACGCACAGATTCCTGGCCCATGCACTTAACCAGTAAAGCCGTACCACATCGCCTGATCAGAGAAATTGGAGACAAACTTATTTGCAGATGATCCAGTAACGGTTGAATAGGCATACTTTGCGAAAATTAGACGGGTTCAAGCAATTTCGCTACCAGATAGAACCTAGTACATTACCATCGAACAGGGGGTTCCACACGGCACTGTATCCCAAGAGTTTGGGACTTGTTAAATGAACAGAAACTGGTAGCTCATGTGGTTCAGATGGGGACTGAACTGTTCGTTGAGCTTGGCCGTGTTAGAAGCAAGACGTAACGAACAAGGTTGTTTTCAGTGGATCATCATCAGACTAGTAAATCACAACTACGTAGGTCGAAAATTGACACGTGAATAACAGGCGCCAATAAATCAAAATATCTCATTACTAAGGCTATGCGATTAGACGACCTGTGTGGAGTCAGGGAGCAATGGCGTGATACGGCTGCTTACTTGTGTTAGTCTAGGGTCAAGGAATACAGAATGTTTGTAGAAAATTCTTCTGCGCACAAACCCCGGGTTATGGAGCTGAATTGCGATTGCCTTTGCTGTCGACAACAGACGGCATCGGACAGCTCTCGTGTGGCATCCTGGCACACAGCAGGTCGGTTGTAATGAATCTTTTGTGATTATTTTTTGCTTAGTATCCACTAAGTGTGACAATACTGCGCTCGTCACATTCTTCTTCACACCATCGGATAGCCAAGCGGGACAATGCTCTCGTGCTCTTACTGACGACAGCCGCCTGGTCGTTTGTCCAATATACCTTGCTCAACATGAGCAAGAGAAATTGTACACACAGAAGGAAATTTGTGACTGGGGTATCCTGTCTTTGAGCTGTTGGCGGACAATTGGTGTTGTGGTGAAGCTTACACGTAATTTGTCGCAAAGTACGTTTTGGCAGTGGCTAGGGTAAACCTTTGGGTGGTTCACTGCGCTATCGCGTCACCTTTAAACAGTAGCGATAAGTATACTAGGCGCTTCACTGCGGAAGCAGATTTCATCTTCGGCACTTGCTGTTCCATGTGCTTCTGGATGAATTTTTCTAGGTATCCATTATGTTCGAACACCCTTCGGATGAAACTTAGCTCCTCAGAAAGCGTACTTGCTGTAAATATTCGTCTCCTTCTCTCAGTGAGACAACGGACTAGATTACGCTTCTGGCTGATTGGAACTTAACCAGTATGTTAATTTCAGCACAAAGCTTGCGGCAGCAAAATCGTCCATGCAGTTTCTCTATGGGTGTATTTTACGTTGCTGGTAACCTAAGCATTTTCGGTCACTACTCAGGCGCAATGGGATTAACCTGACTAATACTGCGTTGAAACATCACACTGCTTCTCATCTTGACGAACTCAAACCTAACTGCTGCGTTTCTTTTGGCGCACTTGCGAATCTGTGTGTTGAGGAGTATGATGCATTTGAATCCTATGTCCAGCAAATCGTAGCGCAGCAGGTGGAATTACGAATGGCCTCACTGCAGTAGCACTTCAATGAGAGCAATCCACCGAACATGTTTCCATCTGATGCTGAAAGCTACGTTCACAATTTCTCCTCACTGCAACTAGACAAGGTTCTACTTGAGGCTCTTTCGTTTGGTCCGAAATTCCGTGGCCAACGGAATCACGTTAAACAGTTAGGTTTAGAGGTGCAATTTGAAAATCTCTATTCCAAAGTAGCTACATTTACGCCGTCGTCAGATTTGGTAGCTGAACAATATAGATCGACACTTGTCAACATGTGTTACCAGTATCTAAGTTACAAACCATATACCAAACATATTTGAAGTAGAAATATCTAGACGCCCTCAAAGAACTCAAGCGAAACGAGAACGTACTGTTGTCTAGACCGGATAAAGGACCCGGAGTCATTCTGATGAATAAGTTAGACAATGTCAGAAAGATGTGTGCCATCCTTACAGAGTGATCGGAATTTCGAAGAGTGGCTAACGAGAATGATAAGGCGCAGGCAATTGAGAAGTCCCTGAGGAAACTTTTGCGTTGCTTAAAACAAGAAAATGTCATCGCCCCTGATGTATTCGAATACATCGGGCATAGTGGAACGGTGATTCCAAGACTTTACGGTCTG